GGCGCAGCAAGTCCTCAGAAACCCAAAAGGAGCAGTGAGTTTCCTCCTCAACAGAAATACAAGACTGCAGAGAAACAAGGCTTTAAAAATCCCTGAAAGACACTGCTGGTTTGTGGCTGTCCACGCTGAGCAAGGGGCTCAAGGGCAGATGAGAAGTGGGCTGTGTCCCAGGTAAGGGAATAGTGAACAGTGCTGGTGAGACCTTGCTGCAGTGGCCATGCCCAGCCAGGACATTCACCATGAGGAAGCTTCATGGGAGGAACCTCATGTTGCATTTTTCTTGCCATGACTCTAAGGACAGTGGGGTGATGGTCGAAGAGGTGGTCATGGTTCTTTCTCCTCTGTACTTCCCTTGGTGTTTGGTGCTGCCCCTGTGAGGGTGTCATGTCAGAGTGGTGAGGGCACTGAGCTTCCTGGGTCACACAGAGCAGCCCTCAAGTGAAGAAGCTGCAACCTTTCAGGGCAGATTGGAACTGCAATCCTGCAGTGGCGAGTCTGGGAGCCTCAGCTCTCACAGCCACCTTGTCTGATGGCTCAGCTGGCACTGGCCTGCAGCCTCATCAAAAATGTGCAGCACAGCTGTCACAGTTAACCAATACTGCTTTTTTGGTCCTGTGGAACTGCTGGTACTTGTTGGTATCTAGTACAGACAGCAGGAGCACCCCCAGTCCCTCGGGAGAAAAGGACTGGAAGAAAGGGATTCTGGGCTGGGTTTGTAACTGTGCTGGTCCATCTCATTCCCTTTCTCCACACTGTGGAAGGAACTGCCTGTAAGCTCCTGAAAACATGCCTTAGTCCATAAAAAAACACAGTGTGATCTTAGTGCCAGCTCATTTGGATGTGCCAGGTATCAGAGCTTGAGCTGCCTACCACTCTCATAACTGCTAACTAAATCCTGTGCAATGACTGTATGTATTTGCCCATCCACAGTGAGGGTGGGCTTCAGCTTCAGCTTTTAAACTGAGAACCTGATTCTGACTGCATGGTAAATCTACAGCAGTTGCTTTTGGTTTGCAGCAATGCAAATTGAGAATAATTTTTTTCCCCCATAATGAGATATTTACAATCATACATAGACTGATTGTGTGAAGTCAATAGGATTCTGTCTCTCAAAAGCAAATATTGAGGGAATTAGCATCTGCATAAGCCAATATTTACTATTTGGGTACTGAATCATGGCAGAGACTGCACAACACACCAACATCCTCATCTTGTCATGCAACAAGTCAGACCTGCCCTCTTGCCAGCATCTGCAGCACCAGCAAGCTCTGGGAAGTTTGTGGCCCAGCTAAGCTGGGTTTTAAATCCAGCAGAATCAAACACTTTGCCACATTGTCCCCATCAGCTTTCAAAGTTCTTCCTAAATCTGAAGGAAGGAAACATAAGTGCCCCGTCCCTGGAAGTTTTCAAGACCAGTCTGGATGGGACACTGAGAACTAGACTATCTTTAAGGTCCTCTCCAAGCCAGCCAATTTTTTATAATCTTGTGAAGCTGCTCAATATCTTGGAAGGGAGATAGAGAAGTGTTTTTTATTTTATTGCTGCATTATTACTGTTTTTTGACATGATGCTCACTTGCCCTGGTTTAATAGCATTGATGGGATCCAAAGTAGTGCCTTTGTGCTTTATTTTTTTTTCAAATTAACCTAGAGAGGCAAACCAGGGTGGGCCATGCCCTGAGCTGGTTCAGCACTATACATGAGGAAGGCTTGGTGGAAAGCAATTTACCTGTTGAATTAAACATTTTTCAGCTTGATGTATCACTGTTTGCCTTGATTTTGCTGGAGATTTTCTGAAGGACTGATATCAGCCAATAAGGGACTATTTACTTGAAAGTAAAGAATTATCATGTTTAGGAGAAAGATGTTATTGCTATTCTTTCTTGAATGTTTGAAATCCCTTTTTGCTGTTATAAGCCTAAACAATGTCTGCAACAGCCTGTGATGGCAGACAAGATTTCAAGGTTTCAGGTGAGTTTTCTTTGTTATTTCCTGATGTGTTATGGACAATGCAAACAGAAAGCAACATGTGTTCTTGGTGAGCTGAATGTGCCCAGTGCAGAAAGTGACTGCTTTGAGTTGTTACCTGCATGGCTTCATCTCATCAGAAATAGCCACCGGAATTGATTAATATTAAAAATAAAGTCAACTAACTTTCTTTTGACAAAGACAGCAGCTAGTACAATGCTGGAGGCACTTGCAATCTGAGAGCTGTGACTCATGTTACACTCCAGAGAGGTTTGTCTCCCCTCTTCTAATCAAAATCAGGGAGTAAGAGGATACTCAGCCTCTTGCACACCTAGCAACTTTTCAACCGTGCCTAGTGGAACATTTGCTGCCTTGCTGTCGGTATTTGGAAGATGTCCTTAACCTTTGATGTTAAGTGGGAAGGTATTTTCCAAATGAAGCTGTGCCTTTGCCCATGAATTGGATGCCCCAGATGTTCCCATCCAGCACAGCTGCCCCCACAAGAGGTCTGGCTCAGCAGGGACAAGCAGGAGATGGAAATTACATGAGGGCCAGGGAAAACATTGCAAACAAGCCAGCATGGAGAGGCTGGAGTAGGTGAGAGGTGCAGGGTCACAAGCCAGGTGAAAAAGGCCTGGGGTCAGGTCAGTGTGCTGAGATTTTCCAGGTATAAAGGACAAATTAGGACAGCATTTCTGTGGGCAAATCACAGAACCAGTAAGTGTTGGCACAGTGTCTTGTGCCAACCCAGGCCACACAGGAAGGGGGATCTCTGCAGCAGGGCAGAAAATCCATCCCTGTGCCAGGACTGTAGTGGTTTCCTGGGGATGGGCGGGGGTGGGGGGGAAGCTGTGTCTGGGACTGGGTGTCCCCCAGGAGATGGGAGAACTGGCACGGCCCAGGATGCTGAGACAAGACATCACCTGTGTCACCCGCAGCTCCAGGGCTTGCTGCAGACAGGCCAGCACTGTATAGTTTTTGGTGCAGAGCAGCCACACCACAGGGTTGGTTCACACCTGAGACCTTCTCACTGGAGCCCACACTGATATTTTGTGGCACATGGCCCAGCACGATGGACATATCCCCATTGCTGAGACACAGGAGGCTGTTACAGCACCAGTGACTGGTGTTATCTGAGCATTCAGGCTGCACAGAAATACTGTCACAAGGATTAAATGCTCTCCTATGGGACAGGGGACACTGTGAGCCTCCAGGGTAGACAGGGTCTCGTGGAACTAGCTCCACTCAGTGTAGATGGGGAGGCACAGGCTTATGTGCCACAGGCTTATGTGATTTGTTCAGTCCATTTGCAAGTGATCCTGGGCAGGAAAATGTTGCAAACCCCACTGAGGACAGAGAATTATTACAAAGGGACCTACTGAGAAGCAGGAAATATGAGGAGGAAACAATAAAATGAGATTCAGCTTGGAAAAATAGAAGGGAATACATGTGGGAATAATATTTAGTAATAACTTCAGAGGGAGGAAAAGAGCAGAAAAGCAGAAAATCTGAGGGGAGAAGAGCTCTAGAAAGACCAAAAATGAGCAGCAAATGAGAGACATTTTGCGAGGGAGGTGCTGAGGTTAATGTGCTGAGCTGAGACCTGCTCCCTGGCTTGCTCCCCTTGGGCATCATGGGCCACATGTGAGCACTGGGCCTGAATTGCACCAACCTGCAGTGTCCCCCGATGACAGTGGCACAGCTGGTGGCAGCTGTACAGAGCCACACTAGCCCCTGCTTGTGTGCCCTGCGTGTCCCCTGATGTGCCCAGCTCAGAGGGGAGACATTCCAGAGTGTTCCTCCACGTGTGTGCTGGGAGGGGATCCTGTCGCTGGTGATGGTTCCCTGCTCTTCTCTGCGTGGCTTAGTGGTTTGGGCACGGGATTGCCTACAGCCACCTTGGGGCACCGCTGTGCCCATGGGTCCCTTGTGAGGACACCACCAGCCTGGTGGTGTGCACTCAGGGCTAACCAGCACCAGCCCAGCCTGTGGAGAGTTTGCCGGCTTTTCCCCACCCTCACTGCTTGCTGCGCACACCAACTCCAGCACGGCACAAAAAGAAAACAACTGCCAAGGGCAAAGAAACTCCCCAGATAAAAATACAAGAAAAGGCTTGAACACAAATTGTTGGCCTCCCCTGCTGCGCAGTACTCGTCACCTCGGCACATCTGCTCCGAGCCATGGCTGACCCCCTCCTTCCCTGCCAGTTTCTGCTTCCAGCCTTGCTACCTCACCTCCCCCAAACACCAGGAAGCTGTGGCATTTTGGAATGTGCTACGTAGAGCCTGACCAAGGCGATGTTTTTCCCAGACTTTTATTCCCTACTTTTTGAGTCATAAACACGCAGATCCAACAATCACCCAGTTTCCTCTCTCTGCCCTTTTGGCTCCTCTAGCCACCCTCCTGCCCACAGAGTGCAATGCCAGCATCACCTGCAGCAGGAAGGAGCAAACACCAGGAAAGCAAAGTGGCCTCGTCCCAGGCGAAGCTATGCCCCCTGGCACAACCAATGGGGCTTTGGTTCTGGCCTCACTTCTGAGGGAGGAGTTTGCTCTAGCAAAAAGGGTCCCCATGCAGAGCACAGCGGGGACAGCACAGCCACATACTAAGCTGATAACTGTGAATCCAACTGAAACCAAACTCCTCAGAAAATGCCATTTGCTGCAGAGTATTTGACATTCTTTGAAAAGAGGGAGCTTGATGAGCCCACAGGCTCTGGCCCATCCTGTTCCCACCACTCCTCCCCACCTGAGAGGTGAGGGATGCCCATCTCAGCTGATGCTCAGATGCCATCTCCCTGTGCCCCTTCTCCCCAGACACATGCCCTCAGAACATACCCCCACTGCAGCACGCTGTTCAGACATATAAGTTGTTCAGTTTACTGTTATTCTTTAAAAACACAGCAAAAAGTTCAAACTTTTGGTTTTGCCAGTCTGGAGAGGTGGGCTGGTCAGATGTTCTTTTGGAGACACAGGAAAGCAAAGCATTAACTGAAAAAACAAAAACTCTATGACAAAGCAAACAAAACCGAAGTCACACCATAAAGTATTTATTAAAAAACAAAGGGGGCTTTTTTCTTCAGTTTTAAGAAACACTTTAAAGCAAGTGCTCTTTCACAGATTTAAAAGCTATATCAAATGGTAACATTGGTTTTACATTATTGTACATGACATTAAAAAAAACACAACATCTCACAAAATTCCTTTTATTAGACCGTGGCTTTCTCTGCCTTCAGTTGTAAATTAATTTCTACAGACTTAAATTTAACTTATTCTTTTTTTTTTTTAAAACAAGTAAACAATATACAAAGATTCACCTGAATTCCAAAGGTCAGAGGAGATGTCCTTGTCAGGGCCTGTGCAAGGCAGGCAGTGGGGGGGAGCTGACTTGGCTCACAGAGGGGCATGGTCACAACCACAGAGCCAGGGCTCACCCAGGGCCAAGCACCTCCTGCTCCTGGGGAAGCCCAGGCAGCTGCCCTGTGTCTGACCAGCTCAGTGTGACCCCGCTGCAACGTGGGCAGGTAGAAACCCACACCCCCAGAGACCAGAGAGTGCAGGGGGTCCTTCAGAAGCCTGGCAGCACCCAGCTCTGGAGCACCCACTGCCCTGAAGATCCCCGAGCACCGAGTTGTGCAGCATCCAACACCTCCAGCACCCAGGCGCCCCCTTCCCCAAGACATCCAGTCTGGCAGGAGAGGAAGCCAGGTCTCAAACCAATCTTTCTGTCCAGATCCTGCACACTGACTGGGAGATCACAGCCAGGAACAACAGATCTGGGATAAATTGCCTATTCATTTCCCCGTGTCAGTGGCCAAACCATGGCTGCCTGCTGCAGACTGCCTGTGTGTGGCGTGTTTATGAGTAAACCATTGGGTTTGGCAATGCGTCTGCACCTTCTGTGTCATTTAAAAACAGATGTACAAAACGCAGCATCACAGTTATTGCTACATATTGATACAGTATCAGACAATAAGAAACCTTTTGTCATCACTGGTCTGGCTACAGTAATTGCTTGGGTTTTGCACAGGGCCTCAAGTCTTCTGCTGCACTGTTTTGGCTGAGGAGCAAATGGATGGAAATGCAGAGGTTACATTTTTTTAAGAGACAAAACCAGCTTTAGTTTGCTGCATCTGGGGTGATACAATTAGAATGATCTCATTGTTTGTTGCCTCTTTAACCTGGAGAGGTGTTTTCCCCATATGAAGCAAAGCAGGACAGAGCCAACAGCTCCAGTGTAAAGTGTCCCTCCTGTCTGCATCTTACCACCTCCATGACCCTTGTGACACCACAAGCACCTTTGTCCCTTGGTTGGGCCTTTTTCCTTATTGTTAAATACAGCTGTGCCTCCCTAGTCCCCTGCCATGAGTAAAGAAGAAAAGAGGATGGATTTCAAACCTCTACCAACCCATTCACATCCCAACTGGGTTCTGTATAACACTCTCCCACTCCGACAGGGTAAGGCAGGGGACTCAGAATGTGCTCATGGGGGACAAGATAAAGTCAATTTTCCTACAAGGCAGACTCCAATGCAAGCAGGCTTTGGGGAAACACCTTCATGGGCATTCACACAGATTTCCTGTTTCATGGGAAATGAGGTTAAATCAGGTGTGTTTGGAATCACAGTCTGACCTTTCTCTGCCAAGGCAGGTTCAGTTCAGATACTGATAGCTGTACCAAAAGCTTTGCTCAGTGTTACAAAGAGCAAGCACCTCATACCCTGGTTTTAGTAAAACATTCACAAAGATAAAATCTCTGCAAACCACTACTGGGTCCTGATCTTGATACAAAACCAAATCAAGAAGGGTTTCAAGTGCACTGGAAAGAAGAGCAGAATAATTCACTCTTCCAATTCCTACATAGTACAAGGAAAATTGGTCTTTGCAAGACCAAGTTTCTGGTGGCATTTCACCCCAAAGAGGGTGTGTGTAAGAAGCCATGGTGGCTGGGCACACAGGGATTGCACTGCTCGGCTCTTAGTTGTGATTGTCTGTAAAGCAACGGGAAATGTCATAATGGAGCTGGGAACAGAGAGGTTTCTGAAGTACTGCTGTCTTGTACAGTGTAACAAAACTCTTTCTAGAATTAATTAGGCAAATACTTGTGACCATGTCATACCTGAAGGGCACTTTATGGCTCCGACATTTATCTCATGAGTACAGTGATCTGAAATACATATGCATTTCCAACGTAATCCTTCACCACCATAAATCACACGCTGGAATGAGAGCATATCTGGCAACGTTAATTCCGAGATATCATCCTTACAGTTCCTGGCAACAGACCCCGATGAAAATAAATGGTTTATAAACACTGTCTGACATGCATGAGCCTTTCAAAATTATTTACAAGTGGTGTTCTGGGAGCTTTGTTCCAAAGAAGTATTTCTCCTCCGTTCAGTTCAGATATTAAAACTGGCTGGGTGGGGATGGGGAGGGGAAGACATCAGCGCTACACAGTCACAGCTGGGTACATCTTCTGCTCGCTGTTGGTGTGTGGGAAGGGAGACTGGATCTGCCTGTAGCCGCTCTGCAGGCTGTCCAGGAAGGGAGGCACCGGGGTCAGCGGCATGGAGTCGTGCTGCATGGCATAGCCCACGTACTGCGGGTGCAGGTACTGGCCCTGGTGCGGCACAATCTGCGTGGCCTGCTGGCAGTTCAGCACCGAGAAGTTCGTGGGCATGTTGACATAGACATTATTCATGGTCCCTTCTGGCAAGCAGCAGTTGGTCTGGGACCTCGTCGGTGGAGCTCTGGCCCCTGAGTTGGCGCTGGAGCTGGAGCTGGCAGCCGTGCTCGACTGGCGGGAGGAGGAGCCCCGGGAGGTGCTGGCACTTGGGATCATGGGGATCGTCTCCATCAGGCGGGTGCCTGCAGGTGCTCGACTCTGCTGGGGCTCCTGCTTGGGCCGCAGGCATCTGCAGCAGCAAGCTGCAACCAGTGACCCCAGGATGATGAAAGCGACAAATACAGATCCCACGATAAGGAACGGCACGTAGATGGGCACTGCAACAGCAAGGAAAATATTGTCAATGTAGGTCAAGGACAATCCTCGGCAGCTCCAGAAATTCCCCCTCATGCAAGCAGAGCCCACTTCCTCCCAGCACAGGCAGAGCATTTTATACCAGCATGATGAAAAGGGCTGTTAAACCCAGTGACTTAAATTTCCCTCCTGTTGATGGTGGTCTAGTTCACAGTAACCACAGCTCCAGATTCTATCTAATCATGTCTCCAACAGGTCCTACTAGAACAATCAGCCACAATACAGCTGGGTTTGAATAGTGCCTTAAGGAGATACTGTGGGGCAGGATCCCTCATGAGGGCTCAGGATCACAGTCACACGCCTTCTGACACCCCACAGCCCTGGGGATGAATGCCCACCCATTCTGCACTTCCGCCCTGGTTTAGGGAGAAACCACAGAGCAGGTGGTGCAGAGACAGCACCGTGCTCCAAAGGGGCAGCAGTCCTCCTTGTGAGGCCTAATGAAGGGACATCAGGGCAGGAGAACTGAAGGCGGGCAAGGGGTAGAAGCAAAAAGTATGGATGATGCTCACTGGTGGCATCAGGAGCCACCAAGGATTGTAAACATCATCCTTGGAAGAATCTGGGCTACGTGTACAGACTTCACAGAATACACCTGAGTTGGGAAGGACACACAAAATTCATCGAGTCCAACTCTTAAGTGAATGGCCCATACAGGGATCAGACCCACAATAGTCCAATTAGCTCTATCCAACTAAGATAATCCATTCTGCAGTCCCAGGGGAAAAGCTTTTTTCTCTGCCTCCGTAAGAAATCTGCATGGATATATCCACGAATAACAAAGGGAAGGTGTCTCCCTTCAGTGCTTGTGAATGCTCCCAGCAACATGCCTGGAGTTCATCATTTCCACCAAAACCTGGCAGCTCCAAGATGCAGGCAGGGCTACGGATCCCTGCTTGACCCTGTCTGACCCTGCTAAGGCAGCCACTGCTAATGACCTGCAAGTTAATCAGTGCCAGCACAGGGCAATGGCTCCCAAACCAGCAAAGCAGTAAATTTTAAATAAAAAAAAATGTTACAAAAATGCATTGTTCTCAGAACTGCAAAGGGAGGGGGGGTTATCTGTCTGCTCGAGTCAGAATACTTCCTGGCACAGCTGATTACATGAAACATTATAACCAAAAGGCCACTTTTCTTCCATCACTTTAGTACTTTTAAACAAAAGGCTGTAAAACATCATCTCCCACTTCTGTGATTGGCGCTACAGCAGCTCTTGAGCAGGTGCACACACTTGCTCCACACTGTAATGTGCAAGTTTTCAGGAGTAAATCTGTCCTAATTATAACATCACTTCAGGCTACTTCTCCCGCACTCAGCATGTGTGGATGTCAGTAAGGGTGCTGGGGAGCCACGGGGGCTTTTTTAAACAGCAGTAGAAAAACTTGAGTTTATCCTTGAAATTCAATCTTGTAAAACCAGTCCTAAGTGGGGATATCAGAGCTGAAAGAACATACGCAATTACAGTGGGGACCAGCCAGAGTCCTTTTGAAATATCCTGTTACTTTTTCTGATCTGCTCATATGGGTTGTCTCATTTTTCCTCGCCTTTTCAATGGGGAGCTCAACCACGGCCGAGGAGCCCGTTCAAAGCGGCGGCAGAGCAGTGCCAGGCCGAGACGGCTGGCCCCGGGACTCGGGGGAGTGGTGTCACCTGCTCTGACAGAGACGTGGCTGGGATTTCCAGCAGTAAGGCCGGGAAAGGCAGGCCTCCAGCGTGGGCACTGCTGCCAGTGTAAGAGCGGCCGCCGGGCCGGCCAGCGCCGACTCCGTCCGGCCCCACGACTCGACGGAGGGGGAACCGGCGGCAAGGGGGGAAGGGGCGGGCAAGAAGCTCGCCGCAAACCCGCGACGGCTCCCGTGGAGCCGCCGAGCAGGAGACACCCTCGGGGCCCTCCGAGCCGCGCCGGGGCCGCCTCACCTGCCGCGCCGTCGGGGCCGTCCTTGCCGGGGCGGCCGGGCTCACCGCCGCCCTGCCGCCGGTCGTTGTCGCAGGCGCCCTGGTCCAGGCGCGCCTCGGCGCTGGAGCAGCAGTACCGGAGCGCGCAGCTGCCGCAGCAGATGGTGGCGTCGCCGCCGTCGAAGCGCTCGGGGCACTGGAAGCCGTCCCGCCAGCCGCCCTGCCCGTCCAGCCAGCCGTGGCAGTACTCGCCGCTGGCCGCGGCCCCCGCCGGCAGCAGCCAGCCCAGCGCCGCCAGCAGCAGCCAGCCCCGCATGGCGCCGCCGGGGGGGCGGCCGCTCCGTCAGGGCCTCCCCGCGCCGGGGCAGCGCCGCCCGACCCCCCAGGGCAGGCAGCCGCCGCGCTGCGGGGACTCTGGCCGCAGGTCCCGCCGCCACCGCCGCCGCATGCCCGGGGCCGCCGCCTGGGGCGCACCGGCGGAGCCGGGGGCGCCGCTACTGCGCTCTCGCTCCCCGCCGCCTCGCCGCGCCCGCCCGGCCCGCGACCTCCTCCGCGCCCATGGGCGAGGGACGGCGGGAGCCCGCGACCCTCCCGCGGACGGCGCGGAGCGGCCCCGTGCTGCGCTCTCCGTGCGCCCCGTCCGGCGCCGCGCCCGCTCTGCGCGGGGCGCGCCGCGCCCGCACTTATAGGCGGTGGGGCGGCCCGGCGCGCATGCGCCCGCCTCGCCCCGCCCCACGGGGCGGTGCCGCGCGCGGGCCGGGGCGCGGGGGCCGCGGTCCTGCCGGGCACCGGCACCGAACAGGGGCGGCCTGCCTTTGCCTCACCGCTTCTTAAAGGCAGTGCCACCGGGGCCGGGCACAGGGATGCACCTTCAGCTGCTGAAGTGTCAGGGCAGTCTGTGGTTTCTCGTTCCCTGTGAGACAGCTTGTTGGTCGTGACACCAACCACAACTCTGAGTTACGATGCATTCATCGAGTAAAAAAAAAAAAAAAATCGTCTTGTAAGAAAAAGACACAAATACGGGAGCTCTGATAAGTGGCACTTGTTCTAAATTCCGCTATAAAGGCAAATCACTGGGAGGAAGGTGACTGCAAAGTGTTGTGTATTTCTCTCAGGCCTTTAAGCTTTTCTCCTTCAATTTAGTTATTGTCCTTCTCCCTCCATCTTCATCCCCTCTTTCGTTCTCATTTCAGCCAGTCTGACAGCTACAGACTTTCACTGAGCTGCTGCTCTGGAGCACCAGATTCTGGTAAAATTAGGGACCAGGTAAATGCATTCTGCCCCCCTACCTTCCCTGCTGCTCCCAGTGAATTATTTTCCAGCCGTGGCCGCGGCTGCGGCTCAGTCCATTGCTGGAGCTGGGCTGGTGTAGAGATGGTTCCCCCACACCTCATGCCTTACCTATCTCAGAGAGGATTAGTAACCCAGAGCAGCTAACTTTTGGAAAAGTTTGCACTTACCAAGATGGAACTGGGGCTGCAGCACGACAGGTTATTTATCACCCAATCAGTGCAGCTGGGTGAACGAGAAGAAACTTGCAGCGATTCAACTGATGGGGTCTGAGATGCTCCATCTCAAACCCTGCGTAGCAGCTCCCTGGAGCTGCCAGCTCCAGCACGAGGAGCCCAGCACAGACAGTCCTGGGCAGTGACAGATTTTGTACACTCAGCCCATATCCTCCACAGCATCCATTGCTCAAGACACCCCCATCAGCGATGGGCCACGGGGAGGGAAGGGGATTGCCTGGGGAAGGAATTAGAACCACGAGCTCCTGCCAGTGACCTGTCTTTGGATGTCTGGCAGCCACAAGTGACAGCACAGCAGCTGTTAAATGCCTACATTCACAGAACTCTTCCTACGAGATCATTTTCCTTAAATCTAGGTTAGACACACATTTTCGTAATAAGAAAAGCAGCTTCTTGAGTCTTTTATACGTGGCAAGCAAAATACTTTCCCAGTCCCATCCTTTGAGTTGATGGTTCACTGATACTCAGTAAGGTGGTTCTCTTTCAATAGCAAAACCAGACTATGAGAAGAGAGGTTACAAGCAGACTATCTAATCTAATCTAATCTGTACTCCAAACTAGGAGTCTTGATCATAACGAAACATCAGCATCAGATCCCCTGCAGAGATTATCTGTAACAGGTACTTTATATATTCGAGCTCAGGATTTGTCTCAACTTGCCTGGATAATAGCAGAGATAATAGTGTACCTCATTATCCTTTTGTGAAGCTTAAAACATTTGGCACTTTGCAAAATGCTTTAGATCCTGTTTAGCAATAGACTAATTAGTGGAGTTTGGGGTGGTTTTTTCCACTGTCTTTACAAGCTGATCAGGTAATATCCCTATGATTAAAATTTAAAAGCACACAAAAAATCTATAACCAAAATACGTGGAAACACATAAATATAGCAAGTCTTTCCTACTCTGAGACTTTTTCACTCACTTTCCCATGTCAAACTATCTCATTATATTAGTTCAATCTATTTCAATGTTAAATAAATCTATCCCAGATTTTGTAGGACACTAAACATATCACATCCCATCAAACTAAGCATAGTGCAGCTTTTAGATATAATTAAAATAACACATAGTTGGTGGAGGGGAAAAGATTTTTAAAGCCTACATGTATTCAGTAATGATCGCATAGTCTACAAATCTCTATTATCTGCTTAAACTTCCTTTTATTTTTTTTTTTTTAAGTCTCTGAATTTGTAATACTACTACCAGGTATAGTTTTCTGAGGCCTGAGGGTCAGTAGAAATGTTCTTTGCCACTGTCCAGCCAAATGCATGATCTCAGGAAAGCAAATATAATCTTTCATTTTGGGAATTTGAAGAATTCACCTGCTGTTCTGCTAGTCCTGAAAAATTGTCTCTCTTAGAGCAGTGAAAATAAGACTTAAAAGCACTTCTGCTAGTTGTCTGAAACAGGTGAAGTGCATTTTCCACATAATTTTTAACACTCTGAGCTGCAATCTGCCTGTGCAGCAGTGTAGGGGCTGTGGCACTGGCTGTGTGAGAGCAGTACCTGCACCCCTGCACGCCTGGGCACAGAGCTGTGGCACAGCTGCCTGTGCCACTGTCCAGCCTGGATGCTGATCCTTGAAGGCAGAGCTGCTGTGGGATAATGGCCACCATATGTTTAAGTGGCTCTCTAACACTGATATCTGCTTACCTTGTAAATTCATTCAGTCACTGCACTGACAGGCATTCTCCTTATTGTAACAAGGGCATTTTTGCTGTCTCCCTCCAGCTGTCTCTCTCCATATTACAGTCTCCCTCCAGATGGAAATTTTTCAAAAGTATTTCTGTGCTTTCAGAGCACAGTGCTTTGCTTTCCTAGGGCTGCCACGCCTCATGTGCTAAAGTTCTTTGCAAGTACATCAGCTCCTGCTTTAAAAAAAAAAAAAAAAGACAACAGAAAAGGCATGAAAAGAGAGATAATACAAAAGCACATCTCTCATTCTGAACAGCTCCCAGTTCAAGAGAGGGGAAAAATGAGGACACCCCACCTTGACTCTGAGCTGCTGAGCCATTCACAGCGAGGTACCAGAAACATTTGTTGGGGCTGGCTGTGCCTGCACACATTGGACAGGAAGGAAGGAGGAGAAAGGACAAATAAGTGGAAACAGTAACAATTAGCAAGAAACAACAGTCACTATCCTCCCCTTTGGGTGTCTATTCTACAAATTCTCCATGATAACACAGGAACACAAACCTCTCACCTTATTCTGTATCTCTGTCTGTTTTGGTTGGAGTCTCTCCTTGGGATAGGAGAAGGAAAACCCTGTGACACGACTCTCCAAGCTGCCGTGAGCTTCTGTGGGTGTGTAAGTGGCTCTCACTGTTAGGGACATTTTGTTTTCCCTATGGAATTTTCAACCCATGCTGTAGTAGCTTGTCACATTCTGTTGATGTTAAGAGAGAACACAAAACTGGTAGCAAGTATATTCTCTTTTCTTTATGACCCATTGGTGATAAAGTTTAGATGGCAGACGGATACTGTCTTCTTTTTCCCTTTGGAATTTCCAGTTTCATTCTTGATGGTCTTGTCAGTTGGGCACAAGCGAGATTATCTGCTTTCCATTGCCCAGCCCTGGATGCCAAACAGGCATATATCTACTTTCCCATTCCATTTAGCTCACATACCTACTGTTACATCGTTGTTGTCAAACAATTTTGTAACCTTATCAGGAATCTTGACAATCTGGATTCTAGAATTGCTTTGGCTCTACTTTGGCTCTGTTGTGTCCACAACATTGCAGATCAGAATTGTAAATTAAACATAGCCTGAAGTCTTCAGCTAGAACTCATCATCATGGTACTATTGTTTAGATGACTTGGCATGTAAAAGTCAGGTCATGCTTACCACAAGAGATGAATTTTATTGCTTTTGTACATTTCAACAGCAGAGATTTTTCTTCCTGGTAACACAAAATAAAGGAATTAATTCTGATTGTGCAGAATTAAAACAGTTAATTTGAAAACAGTTTGTTTTACTGCCTGTAGTTTTTTTAACTTAGAAACAAATCACTTTGGAGTTGAAATCCCTGCATCTTGTCCATTTATACAAGCGAAGTCACTTCTCAGGCAAAACTGTATTTCCTGCTGCTAAAGCAATGCCTTGCTGCCCCCATGTGAAGTTAGTGAGAAGAGTAGCGTGACTGAAACTATACTGTGGAGTTTGTATGGAGAACTGTTGAATTTGAGATTGCAATCCATACTGACAGGTAATACCAACACAATTTCCCAGGCGAGGATAGTCACCAGAATATATGAGCTTACTGTAGTAGCCTTTTCTTTTCTTCCCAACCTGGTTATTAGGTACTTTTTATACTAGTGTGACTGTAGCAAGTATAATTTAAACACCATCAGTACATTTAAGGGTGGAAACAGCCACTCCAATTCTGGTATTGATTGCATAAGCTGGACTGGTTTTTATTTCTGCTTAGGGAACATATTTAATATCTGCATTTTAAAATACACGTGTACTCATAGCAAAAGGCTTTCTTTTACTGGCTCTCATTTCCTGGAGAATAATTAGATCAAGATGACCCAAGGGAATTAAAAAAAAACCCAGTCAGAGAATGAGGGAAAGGATTGTAAAAAATAGCTTTGAACGAAGGGATATGAAGTTAGCACACTCCTCAGGGGCTGGGCTGTGAATGTGCAGTGGCTGCACCGGCACCGAGCGCATCAGGAGGCACAGCTCAGCTCCTGCTGTGAGCGCTCGCTCTCAGCACACGCCGCAGTGACAGCCGGAATCAGCGCTGGCACCACCTTATCACAGCCGGCACCGGCACCTCCCGTATCGCCCGTCTGGCTCCAAAATGCACCACTGTCCTGATAACGGGGCTGGGGATGCGGCTGAAGGGAGATGAGCGGGTAACAGCACCTCCGGG